TGGGAATTTTCACAATGGTGGTTTTAGAAGCGAGAATGGAGTAGACTAAAGAATGAAGGGAACTAATGAGATTAGAACAGCTGGTCTACCTGACTCTCTGAAGAGTCTGGCTGTGAAGAGGGACTGGAGATGCAGACGGAGCTGGATAGCTCAGCAGGTGTTTGATTTCTTCTTCTTTTTAAAAAAATATGTATTTTTTAGAAGTAGTTGGACACAATACCTTTATTTTGTTTATTTATTTTTATGTGGTGCTGAGGATCGAACCCAGGGCCTCGAACGTGCTAGAGGAGGGATCTACCACTGGGCCACAATCCCAGCCCCATCTGATTTCTTTTCTTACCTATTTAAGATAGAGGTACGGGCATTGGGAGGAAGATAGGACACACGTGAGGGCTCTGTTGGCTTCTAGGAGCCACACATTCTCCTTCCTTTCTCTTCTTCACCTGCTAAATTTCTTTTAAAAGTAGCGTGGCTTTTCTCTCCCTTATAACTTCCACCCTGACACCTGAAACAGGAACTGGCTCAGTTCATCCTAGGTGAAGGAGTGACATGACCAGGGTAGAATTTTAGCCAGGATGTCTTCCAGGTCCTAGTTTCCAACCTGGAGCAAGCATAGCTATTACTGGGAGATAATCAAAAGGCATCTCCTAGGTCATTAACCCAATAACTGAAATTCATTAGGTAAATATGGATTTAAATTGGACTGTGGAGAATAGTGAGGACCATAATAACTTGGGGGTGATTTAGAGGAGAGGAAACCTAGTAGGGTACAGAGGAATATGGACAGTCCAACAGCAGGCTTACCCAAAGGGGGAAGTCAAAAGGGAAGTGAGGTGCCAACAGGTCCGCTCTGGCCCTCTTCCAAGTTAAGCAAGGCTCCCCTTATCAGTTGGAGAAACAGGCAGCCAGTGGTTGGGAATGAATTCCTACTCACTCGCTTGTATGGGGAAGCACACAGAGCACAGGCCATGCTGTGTGCAAAGAGGCATTGCATTCATCCTATGGCCTAAGCATACACTTTGGTCTTCAGGAAGTGAGGCAAGGATGGGCAAAGACTGGGGACCTGGGAAAGAAAAAGAAGAAACAGATGCATGCCCTTATTAACTAGCCTTCCCATAGATGTCTGCCAGGGAGAGGAAAGGGGCTGCACCAAGATGCTCAGGAATACACATTTATTCATTGCGCTCAGAACCTCCCATTCACACAGCAATCACCTTCCCCATCGCTTTTTGAGCTCATAGAAAAGTTTCATTGTGAATGTATTCACATTCATGGTTTCACTTATTCTTGACTTTTTCCAATTAAATGTTGAGGCTTAAACTAACAAACAGATAATATAATGAAGGTTAATATTGTACAATGCCTTTAGCACATGCCAACTTTTTCTTCATTCACAAAAAGACCTGCTTTGTTGTGTAGGGAAGAATTTTACCAATGCTCCCTGAGTCATCCCAAATTGAAGGGCTTCCTGTCTTCATTGCCTCATTAGGATACTTGACAATAATTCACAGATCTTTGGGGACAATGAGCAGGCTTTTGAGTACTGCCTGGAATAGTGATAAACACCATATTTAAAAAGTAGTGTAACTGTTACATGATTCCCTCAGGCAATTAGGCTGCGTTGCTTGCCATAAGCTGCCCTGCTTCTGTCCCTACAGAATAAGCATTTGGTCTCTCTGCTCAGAACCATCGCGTTTTTCCTTCTCCCCTCTAGGTAGGTCACTAAATTCTTTTGTGAACGGTGGGCAAACAGCCATTGAAAAAGAAAGAAAGAAAGAAACTAAATGTGTATGAAATGTAGCTCTTAATATTTCTCTAGAGCATCAAGTCATATTGTACAGAATTATAAAATACTATCAGAAAAGGGCACTTTACATACCATAATAGTCATTTTTTTAAAGTTCAATTTGGCAATTCAAAGCCACATTTAATTTTCTTTGCAAATTCCCACATGGCAGGAAGATATTACTCTTTGTGGCTTTCAAGTCTCTTTCAGGGAACTGTAAAATGACAATCTTTTAGAATTAGCACTTTTCCCATAAAAAGACACTAAATGACTTATATCAAATAAAGTCACATATGCATTTTCATTAAAATAAATACTAAAATAATAAGTAATTTTCCTATATAGCTATTCTGGGATTCATGCAAATTAGACTTCTGCATTATAGTTTGGTATGAATCATTTGTAGTTCTTCATCTTCACTGATAGGTGGGGCTAGTAATTTCTGCTTTAATTATAATATTTTAGCATATTAAAATCTATATCTAGATGGAGCAGACGCTTCAAAGCTTCAAAACCGATGAAACTGCATGCTTCTCTTTTAAGGAAGAAAGCTGTTTGCATTAATATGTGAAATATACTACTAAAACACCCCCTGCTGATTTCATAGGATTTTGCAAGGAGTTATGCATAATTTTCTGAAATTAAAAGGCTGAGGATCAGATATTTATGATGATAAAAATTGAATCTCAAGAATTATTAAAAGCTTGGAAGATTCTTCTAAGATGGAATTTTTATTTGGTTCAATAATTATTTAACACATACAATGTTTTTCAGAAAGCAGTAGAATCAAAAGATTTGTCTTCTACACTCAGCTTCTTCACTTACTATCCGGGTGACAGTGAGTCACTGAACATCTTTGTGAACCAACAACACAAAATTGAAAAGAGAATTAAGAGAAGTAGCAAGGGACGTTGCTGGGTGATGGGCCATAACCTCACAAATAAAGATTATTGCAAATGGCATGGTTTAAGACAAATCCCTATTTAGATCTGGGGACAAATTCTCAGGAATCTACAAATTCTCCATGACACTGTGTTTTTTCATTTTTGAATTTATTTTTTAAATAAATTATAAAGGTTGCTGTTAATCTTGTAAGAAGTGTATGTGTTTATATTTTGGGTCATCTAAATACCCTCCTTATGACTTGAGGCAGTAGAAGTACTAATAGCAGAAATGATACCAAATAATTCAATTTCAATTGTTTTCAAGTTAATGAAAACAGACATAGGCAGACTTAATATGTAACATCCATCTTCTCCCAAATGATAATGACAAAAAATTTGAACAAAGATTTGTTAGTATTTTGAATCCAGAAAACTGATGAGAATATTCAATCAAAATGTGGCATACTATAGCATTGATAAGTTGAATTTGAAAGAAAAAGAGGAATCCTGCCAGCCAGCCAGCATTAAGAGTAGTGATTTAACATCAATCATCATTGTAAATTAACAATAGAACTGGTTTTGGCTTTGTAAGTTTGAATAGATTTATAGTAATTGTGTTTTAAATTGTCATATGAAAATTGTAAACTTAAATTTATACCTAGATTCTTATTTCTATGTATTTAAATAGTGCCATAAAATTAACCTAAATTATTTCATTTAAAAAATAATTTAAGCTGATACAGTAGTTGAGAGGTATGGCAAATAAGATAGGAACTCAGATGAGGAAAAACTCAGGTTGCCTTCTTCATGTACTTTGCTATGTGACCCTGAGCAGCTCACCCTCATTTCTTCACAGTAAATCTCATTCTCATAAAAACTGTGATGGGAAAACAAAATGGTGAAGATAAAATGAGCGAATGTTTTTCCAGGTTTAGTGTGTTATGGTAGATAAGACCTCTGGGTCGATAGTTCAAACTTTCAACCTCCGTTTTTGATGCCGCATCAGGCAAATCTCCTTACCACTATGGGGGTCACATCTCTATTTTCTAAAGCTAGAAGCTGTATCAGATTATCTCAGAGTTCTAAGATAGCTGTAAGAGAAGGTGGTTGGGGTCTCCACTGGAATTTCAAGGGACTTCTCACTTCAACATCATAACCACTGTTATTTGGTTTTCCAATAACTTTTTAAAAACTTAGTACACTGAGGTTAGTATTACTTGTCCTATTCCACAAGGCTGAAATAAGTTTTTTTTTTAAGTCAATGTATCTGAAAACACTTTCCAAAGTCTAAAATACTAACAACATTACAACAAACTCAGATTAAAGATCCTGACTTTTATTCACGATTCTAAAATTAGGCAGCCTCCAGAACCACACCAGGTTCAAAGAACTCCAGCCAGCAACGTCGTTTGGCAGGATTTATGGACAGAAAACAATAGTGAGGTACACAGACGCCTGATTACATAGATGATTTGCCTTATTTGAATCATTTGGCCGCCTGCAGTTAACTAGAGCCCTGCTGTTGTAATCAGCTGAGACTCAGCTGTTACAAAAGGATGCTCCCAGATTAGGTTTTCAGGTTAGGTACTACGCAAGGCCACAGTTCCCCACGAGGGACTCTAGAGTGGAGGTATTCTCAGGCGAAACTCAGGTTAATTTGACATGAAGAAAGTGGGTTTCTCCTCCATTGGACACAGTGTGAAGGGCCCGAGGAACTACATTCTAATGCTGGCCCTCTCAACCAATGTGCTGAAATGAATCGCATCCATCTGCCACCTAACTTGTAATGCCCACCACTACTGAGCGTCCGCCCGGTGCCCCGCATTCCACCATGTTCTAACTTTGCACTTGGGGGCCTCTCAATCAGCGCTTACAACTTCGAAGTAGACAAGAGGGCCATTTAACAGATTAAGGACTGAGGCTGACAGCAGTTACGTACGTGCCGTGCAGCACCTGCGAGCTGAGTTCTTAAAACACCCAGCCAACAGGGAGTTTTGCCGCCAGTCACCCGCATTCTACCTGTCACAGACCCGCACCTGGAGCGCAAAGGCCTGAGACGACCCCCGGCGACCCGGCTGCGGCGTTCCCCAACTCTCCCAGACCCCGCCCACTCGCGAGAGTCCAGCCCCACCGACCCTCCACAGGCTCAAGGGCGGAAACCACCGCGCACCCATCCTGCACCGCTCTCCGCGGGACACTGAGCGTGCTCAATCAGCACATCCGGATTTCCTGTCCGTTTCGTCACTTCCGGGGAGGACAGCTAACCAATAAGGAGGGCCAGGAGGCGGAACCTACTGCCTCAGGCTCCTCCCCCGCCGCGCGTTTCGGAGGTTGGGGGTGGGGATCCGGGAAAGGCCGGGTGGTGTGTTGTGGGCCTAATGGCTGCCTCCGGGAACCTCAGCAGCTTCCGTCTCCCGCCGCTGCCCACCATTCGGGAACTCATTAAGTTGTTCAGACTGCAAGCAGCGAAGCAGCTATCCCAGAATTTTCTTCTGGATTTGAGGCTGACAGGTGGATGCATTAGCCAGTGCGCCCCCGTGGCATCCCCGGTGCTCCAGGGGTTGCGTGGAGGGGTTTCGCTGGGACCTCGCCGGCGGGTCTTAAGGGACAGCCCTGTCTGTGTAGGTGGGCGACCTGCATTCGGTCAGGTCCTCACTTCGCTTTGCACGACAGAAGTCCGGAGTCCCGCCGGCCCAGACACGTGAAGGGCGATGTCTGCACGGAGCCCGGCGTGCTGGGGTGTCGGCGCGCGAAGGCTGGCGGTGCGGGCGCTGAGCTCCCCACGGGCTGGGGGCGGTGGAGTCTAGCTCACTACGCTCCGCCGCGGGCCTGCACGTGCCCATCAGATTTGCTTTTCGTGCAGTTTGAACTTATTAGGGCTTAAAGTCGTGTGCAGCTTTTAGCCATAACTCGTTTTGAAACCTTTGTAGGATTCGTTATTTAAACATTTGTTGAGTCTAAGAAATCCTCGAGGGTGCAAATAATCAGTAAATACATATTGCACAAGCTATGAGAGTGAGCAGGTAGTTTACATTCCCACGCCTTATTTTTTTTTTAAGTGACTTTATGAGGTAAGATTTATAAACAGTGAAATTCACCAGTTTGAGGTGCATGAGTTGATACGTTTCTATGTTTGTTTACCACCCCCTTTTTTTGTATGAGATCGCTGTAAGCTCTATTATAAATATGTGCACTGATTCACTGCTGCAGTACTCATGTTTTGAGATTTGATATTTCAGTTTACTATTTGGCCTCCCTGTAGAAGTTAAAAAAATCGGTGAATCACCCATAACGTTTCTATTAAATGATGTACAGTTTATAAAGCATAAATAAGTTGTTTTAATTTCTTGGACCTGAGTTTTTCATTCTGTCTGTAGCAACATCATTTTGGATAAAACAGTCTAATTCCACTCAAGTCATTTATTTAGAAGAGGGGCCTACTACAAGAGCTTTAAAAGATTGCCCATTTTCCAACATTCTTTGGGTTAACTAGTACCAGCCTTTCAACTAGTTATAGGCCACATGCTAAATATAAAAACCATTCTTAGGGCTGAAGATAACAGGTCTTTTTATTTTAACAGCAAAAAGAAGCTTCACTTACATTTTCTCCTGTGAGTCTTTTTTTTATATTTATTTTTTAGTTTTAGGTGGACACAATATCTTTATTTTTACGTAATGCTGAGAATCGAACCCAGTGCCTCATGCATGCATGCTAGGCGAGCCTGCTACCACTTGAGCCACATCCCCAGCCCTCCTGTGAGTCTTTACTGAGCCTCAGGAATAAGTTCCAGATTGTAGATGATAATAATTCACTCTTCCTATAAAAACCAAAGCACACAGGGAGATTAAAATACATGTAGGAGCAGACCAAGATGGACACTCACTCTTAATGATTTGACATTACATCTTTGATATTCATTTGTATTTGAATGCCTGAGAAGTTTGAGGGTGAAAACACTGTCCTGCCTACTTTCATAGCTTTACATTTTTTAAAATGAGAATCTTAAATTCACTACATAAAGCCTATGCTTAATTAATCATTCTTGTTCCCTCTAAGGCATTTGGTAGCTGTAAGGGAGCAAATACTGGCTTTATAATTTACACCTGAATTGGAGTTTTTTTCTCTGCCATTGCTTTTTTAGATGACTATGTACAAATAAAACAATAGACAAGGAAATTGTAAAGTTCAGAGAAATTAAATTGGAAGAGTAGCTGTTAGTTATGTATAGGAGGAATTTGGTGAGAGGATGTATGAAAATCGCCCATAACATAAATGGTCAGTGGATGCTAATTCCCTCCTTGCATCCATTAAAAGACTGTCTTTGAAAGAGAATTTTTGCCTTTCAGCTTACATAAGCTTACCAAAAATAAGCAAAGTTGGAACTTTATGTCAGAGGAAAAGTGCTGGTGTGTTTTTAGTAGCTAAATTTCCTATCCTAGAAGGCGCAGTTTATCAGATTTTAATATCTCAGTCGATAAGACCAACACATTGTATGTTTTTCCAGAAGTAATGATAAGTTGCAATGAAACATTAGTATTCTACCCTTCTGATTTCTTAAGGTCTGCTGACTTAAATTGACTACTCGAAGAAGAATTATTTTCATGTTAGCATGCATACTTGCAAAGCTTAGAAAACCTCCAATGCTGAATTTAACCTTTATCTGAAAGTGTCCAAAAATTAAAATTTCTGAGAGTCTTATCACCCAGGAACGTGTTGCCATTGCCATTCTGACTACCAAATAGGTGTCTGTGGGTAAAAATGGAGGCTGACTGCACTTTTTGCTTTTGCACCTTCAACTAGCAGCATGGAAGATTCTGATTGGGAATGTCATTTTGCTTGAATTTAAGGAAATGTGCTATGATAATCCTGTTTTTGTTAAAGAATTAGTACAATTTAAAGTTTAAACATTGAAATTTGCCAAGATGATCAAGATAATTAAACTTTTTTTTCCCTCTAGATAAAATTGTAAGGAAAGCTGGCAATCTGACAAATGCTTATGTTTATGAAGTGGGTCCCGGGCCAGGGGGAATCACAAGGTCCATTCTCAATGCCAATGTTGCTGATCTCTTGGTGGTTGAAAAGGATACTCGATTTATTCCTGGATTACAGGTAAGATACTTAAAGTGTCTATTAGGGAGCAAAAACACAATTTAAAATATTAGGCCAGCGTTCTTAGGCCTCAGGGCAACCAAGGTTACGTAAATTGCTCCTAGACTACAGATCAGAATCAGAGATTTTGATTCTGTACAGAGAGGTCTAGAAATTGCATTCTATAAAGCTTCCCCAGATGGTCTATAGACTACTGCTTGAAAATACAATGATGCTAAAATGTTTTTAGTTACCTTTCTTTAAAAATCATTTATCATTGTCTGTGTATATCATGTCTGCTCCTTAAAAAAGTGAAAATCAATAATGGCCAGAAATGACTCATTGGCATGACTTTTGTGAACCTCATTCATTTAGGTTCAAAATGCATTTCCACAAGCAAAAGACAGAAGACATTCATTTGTCTAGAGAGACTAATTGTTAAGCTTAAACATTCTTATAAGAGAATTTTGTAAGTGAGGAAATGAAGTTATAATCATTTTGCTTATAGATTTAGGATGAGGTTTGAATGAAACATCTTTAAAACACAGATACTATTATTATATGGGAAATATGTGAAAGAATGGTATATTTTAGCGGGAGGGAAGAAACCTTGAGTGAGGGTCTTTCTAGCTGCCTAACAGAGGCTGGCAGTAGAGAGAATAAGCTTGTTTTGATCTTTCCTAAGAACTAAAACAGGTGGGAATTGAGGGAGACAGGATCATGGATTTGAAATAAGAAGGGACTTAAGTTTTTAAAACCTCGGCAAACAGTGGAACTGATTATGCCAGGCATCGTGTAAAGGGAGTTCCTCATAGGGGGCACTTAATGACTTAAGGGCCTCTGTTTGATTCCTGTGTAATTCTGAAACATTGAAAGAGCCCTGAGCCTTTGACAGTTTATTATGTGACTATAATAGAACAATAAAAGTATCCACATTCTTTCTTCTATAGAAGAGGGCAAATTGGTTTAAAATTAGTATATTCTAATATTTATTTGTGTGTATATTAATAGAAAAATGTTTAAATTCTGTCAGAGCAGTATGAGAAAATTTGTTTAAAGATGTAGGAGTTTGTGTGCATACATCAGATTTTTTAGAAACAACAATTTATTTCTCATCTTTATCTGGTATTTAGGCCTTAAAGAATTGTATAATGATTGATTTTGGGATTGTAACGTGGTACGTATTTCTTGATCAAATGTGGGATTTAGTAGTGATTTTTGCTTTCGGGCATGTTCTTGTTTTAAGAATTGTGTCTCAACTTGCGGTGGTAGTGGGAATAATGTTATTATTGATGAGCTCATGAGATGATAAAAAGAAATTGGATACTGCATAATTCCCTTCAGGTTTGTTGTAGCATTTTCTGGATACGAGGAGTACTTGTCTGACTTTTTCTCCCTTAAAGGGATTTTTTAACCCTCAAATTTCCTCGTCTGTTACATTCATTCTTTCTTATTAGGCAAAGGGGTGAATCAGTTTAATTACATATTCTCCTCTGTGATCTGATCTGAAGATCTTTGAAGGCAGGCTGTTTTAAAGACCAGTGGCCCCCTCTCTCAACCCCCTGCCCCGGTCCTCCAGTCCGTGCCTTGTAACCCTCTACTTGTAACCCTCTCTGGTTTTCAAGGTTCCTGTGATTAGATCTGGACATGGTGTGTGTGTGGTTTCTCCGTTCACTCCTCTGGAATGCAGGTGCCGTGAGGGTAGAGAGTTCAGGGGGTTGGTTTCCTTGCTGAATCTGCACTACAGGTGGCAGTGCCTGCTGCAAAACAGGTGTCAGTGGTGACTCCAGGGGGACTAAGAAGGCAGTCGGTCTCTGTAACTGTGTGTGTATCTGTATGTCATGTGAGCTGACGAAAGGAGTCATTCGATAGTAAAATAAATATGTCTTATGGGTTATCAGAAATTTTGTGCTCTTTTTTCCCAACATCAAGGCTAAGTTCGAGGTGAATTATAGGAGATATATATTTGACTGCTCATCATTTCAGAAGAAGTAAAATTAATTCTGTCTTCTGTGCAGAAAAGGAACTCGCCTTAAAAAGAAATGTTGGGTACTAAATTATCAAATAGGCTTCTTTTTCCCATAAAGAATGTTTCAATATGTAAAACCACTTTCTATTAGAGGGTCCTAAATTAATCATAAAACTGAGTAAAAGCAGAAGAAGAGTGATCTATTTTAAGGATTCCATTTTAGTGGTTTCTAAGCTAATAGAATTACTTTTTAAAGAAAGTATAATAATTTATAAAAAGTCTTCTGGCTGAAAGTGTATCATTTGTAGCTTAATTTAGTTCATACAGTGTAATCAGGAGGCAGTTCAGGGAAGGAAGGCTGGTGATAACTTAGTGCTGTGGAGGTGAGAAACCGTGTCAGATTCCGGAACACAGCACGGTGCGGCTCTGTGCTGAGGAACGTGGACGTCAGGCTCTACCCTAGTTGTATGACACCGGGCAGATGCTGTCTCAGCTTCAGTTACTCGTAGGTGGTTGGTGGGACTAAGTGATGCCTGACACTTAGCAAGCACTTGGTAAATCTGAATTATAAATACATGGTTAAATTGTTGTCTACAATAATAAAGGTGCCTCTGGTGACTCAGGATTGATCAGGAGACTGCTCATCTGGAATGAGTGTGGGGCAAGATTAATGTGACTCCCGGCGCGCTGGAAACCGCAGTGCTGTGGAAATGGTGGGGCTTTCTCCCACTCCTCCAGCCTGCATCAGGCACCTGGGGTTTCTTTCTCTTGATGTTGTAACATTCCAATTGTGTGGTTCTTGGTGTTCATTTTTTTGGTGTTTTATCTTATTTATTTTTTACATTTTTATGGCTCAGTGGATTCTCTGTGCCTTGGAGGGGAGTAAAGAGATTCCAGACAGCACAGGGAGCTTGAAGCCTTGATGGGTTCTCCTGTCATTTCTGAGCTGGAGATAACTTCATCAATAACGTGTTCCCTTCAGACAGTTCAGATTCTTCTTCATTTTTGTCTTTTTTAAAGGTTTCATACATTAATAACAACAATAGAAAATATTTATGAAGAATTTGCCATGCTAATATTTTGTTTTACACCTTTATTGAGGTGCAGTTGATGCTCAGTAAATTGCCTATGTTGCAAATATAAAAATCACTGAGTTCTGACATATGTAAGATCACACAAAACCATCAGCACAGTCAACATAGTGAACTTCTCCATGAAGAGTGCCTGTGTTCCTAGGAACCCATCCCCTCGTCCTCCCCTTCCCTGTCTCCAGGCAACCATTGGATTGCTTTCATCACTTTCCTTTTTTGTAGAAGCTCGTATTAATGGAATCGTTCAGTATGCCAAAGAGAAAACATTGTCTGATGTTTTTCTATTTGGCATAATTACTCTTGAGATTCACCCATGTTGAGGTGTCTTACCAATAGTTTGCTTCTTTTTGTTGCTTAATAGTATTCCATTTTATGGGATATGCCAGTTTTGCAAATATATCCACCTACTTTTGGACTTCAGGTGCTTTTTTACCATTGAACATGAAAATAAAGCTATTTGAACATTCTATGAAACTCGTGTGTGTGGATATATAGGTTGGGAGACAGCTGTACCCTTTTACATTTCCATCATTGGGCATGAGGGTTTTTCTTCTTGCTAGTTCATAGTATAGTGTTTTTCACATCCTAGTCAGGAGTGATTGTATCTTATTGAGATTTATTGGCACTACTTTAATGAAGAATCATATTGCATATATATTCATGTGCTTATTTGCCATCTGTATCTTCCATGGAGAATTTGTTTGTTCAGATTTTTTTTTTTTTTTTTTGCTCGTTAATTTTTTTCTCCCCTCTCTGCTTCTTGTTGAATTTTAAGAGATCTTTATATAGTTCAGATACATGTTTTGCAAATATTGTCTCCTCAGCTGTCACTCATCTTTTCATTTTCTTGACAATGTTTTTTGAAGAGCACAAAATTTATCAGTTTTTCCTCTTAAATATGCTTTTAGTATGACTATGTAAAAAGAAATACCACCACTATGTATAATGCACCAATAAAAAATATGGAAAAAAGAAATAACATTAAAAAATTCTAACATACTATAACTGTTTTCTAAGTAATAAGCATCTGCTGTATTTACTATTTAAATAATTCCCATATTTGATATTTATTTCAATCTTCAACCTATTGTCTCTTTACATGTTGAATCTGCAGTATCTTTAAATATTAAACACATTTCTATTCATTAAAAAATAAATATGATACTTTTCCTATCATATTTTTAAAATATTTGCCAATCAGGATTGGTAGAAATTGTTCCTTTCCCCCCCCCCAAGATGTTTATTGCTTTACCTTTGTATTGAGGTCGGTGATGCATGTGAGTTTTTGTGTGTGCTATTAGATGAGGGCTCGGGTTTTTTGGTGGTTTGTTTTGTTTGCCCCATATGTTGAAATCATCTTTCTTTTTTCTCATTGAATTGGCTTAGTATCGTTGTCTTATACGTGTCAGTCTGTACCAGGACCTTGAATTCTGTTCCCTTGGTTCATAGGTTTATCTTTTCACCAATATCAGTCTGCATTGATTATGGTATCTTTATACTTGGACGTGAAGTCAAGTAGTGTAGTCTTCTAACCTTACTCTTCTTTTTCAGTGTCATTTGACCTTGATTTCCCTATATTTTTAGAATCAGATTATCAAATTTTTCATTTTTTAAAAAGCCTGGCAGGATTTTTAAAAATGAAACTGTGGATTAATTTGGGGGAGAATTGACGTCTTAATGATATATTCTCTTCATCTTTGAATGTAGTATATTCCATATTTTCTTTTTTTTATTTATTTTACTTAGTTACACATGACAGTACAGTGATCTTGACATATCATACATTTGAATCAGATGGGATATATTCTCTGATTTGTCTTGCAAGTTTTGCATGTGCATCAAATTTTGTCAAATTTATCCGTAACAGTTGATTCTTTAGAGGTAGACTTTGTATCTTGCAGCCCTGCTAAACTCACTTATTGGTGGCTGTTTTGTAGATTGCTTAGTATTTGCTGTGTACA